GTGTGTGTGTGTGTGTGTGTGTGTGTGTGTGTGTGTGTGTGTGTGTGGGGCAGCGAGACAAGGCAGGAACACCTGGACTAAAGTCGAGTACACCCACACCTAGAGGGGACTCCACCCCTGGTCCAAGCTCCACTCCTGGAATCCGGCCCAGTCTATCAAAACCCCCATCCATGGAGATACCACATCCACCCAGTAAGTCAAGTACAAACATCTGTAAATGTATTATATGATGGGTTGTTTCATTTTGCCAGAGGGCAATAAATTGTGTTTGCTAAGTTGCCTGCAGAAATATTGAACTTACTTTTTTTGACTGCTTTCAAAAGAACTGTTGTAGTGACTCTTACGCACTAACGTTTAACGGAGAAGTCTAATCCACAGAAATATTACATCGGTTAAAAATCTCTGTTTGCTTCACAGCCGTAGAAAGAATTCTAATCAAGTGCTATTTGAAATGTGCTGATGATTGTGTACGAATGATGAATCTGCCTGATAAAGGCTTGTACTCTTAGATATTTAAGGGATTTTGATTTTTGAATGCTCTCTTAGCTGTTACCAGCCTTTTATGTGTCGTACTCTTCCCTCCCCTCTCCTCCTCAGCTGCAGGTTTGCGGACCCCGCTGGCTGTACCCGGCCCGTACCCGGGTGCATTTGGTATGTTGCCCCATGCAGCCGGGATGAACGGGGAGCTGGCGAGTGCAGCCGGAGCTGCGGCCTATGCTGCTGGATTGCACAACATGTCGCCTCAAATGAGTGTCGCTGCTGCGGCTGCTGTGGCTGCGTACGGCCGCTCACCTATGGTGAGTGGAAACGCACGACTGTGTTTTGGTAAAATAATGAAATACTAACGCATGAAAAATAAACCCTCTGCAAAGTATCAAATCAACATAGGCAGTTGGCTGTATGCAAGATGCTTTTTAATTTAAAAAAATCTATATTTAAAATAGTTGATATACAATGTGCATAAAACATTGTAACCAGTCTTTGTCGTTTTCATATTTAGTGTTACAACATTTAATCACAGTGGATGTAATTAGGATTTTTTTTTTTTGACGACGATCAACAGAAATATCAAAGTGAAATCAAATTAGGTGCAATTATGAAACACAAAATGATTCAATACATGAATATTTAGTAGAGCCTCCGGGTATCAGGTTGGTACATCTGGACACACTGTTCTCTGAAAAGCTTCTCGTGCTCTGTGACGGTGAATGTGAGTGAACAGAACAGAGGGGATTTTCAAGTCGTGCTTCTGCTGCTTTCATACGAGTGTTTTTAACAGTGGCCTCCTATTTGCTGTACAGGTTTCTTCACCAAGTTTAGTATTTCCAGCTTTACTACAGCATATTCTTTTCATGATTGAGCCCTAGTTACTCAGTGTGTTGGAGATGTTCTTGTATCCTACCCCTGATTCATACTTTTCAGTAACTGTACAGCAGATTGAATGATCTTTTGCTTTCATAATGTAGCTTTTGCCGAAAAAGTGATGGTTGCTTCAGTTCCAACAGTTGCATATTCCAGACATTTAAATGAAAATCATTCGTCACCCCTTCAAGTTCACCCGTTTTACACACAGGTGATCTTGACCCAACTTTGACCATTCTCCTCCTTTTGTTGAAATATCAAAGTTACATCTACTTTAATCTAATGTTCTAAAAGAATAAAAAAATCAGGAAGTTAATGGGCGTGGATACGTTTCTTAAGCACTGTATATTTTATACTGCAACGTGTCAATAGTTGCACAGCTGTATTTCTCTCGTCTGTGTGATCGTATAGTGGGTATGCTGGTGTGCGTTACGTTCAATCACCTCATCACTCTTTGCTGTATTTGCATCGTGTTAATTACACTGTTTAAATAGGTTTAGTAGACACGCAGCTGTGTCTGGGCAACACTTGATATATACTCCGGTTGTGTGTGTGTGTGTGTGTGTGTGTGTGTGTGTGTGTGTGTGTGTGTGGTGTGTGTGGTGTGTGTGTGTGTGTGTTGGATAGTGGGGGAGCACAAGTACTTACAGCTCCGCCTCTGTGTGTTTGCTGACTCTTAAACTCGTCATTCAGATTTGGAGGGTGTGTGTGTGTGTGCTCCAGACTGTCTGTTTGCTTTGTTCTCATGAGTGTTTGTGTTCTGTTCCACATGTTAGTATTGACCTTTGTGTATTTTGCCAATGCCCATGGGTGTGTGTTTGCACTGTGCTCATAAAATGCCTGTCTTCTCTTATCAAGGTTGGTTTTGATCCTCATCCTCACATGCGAGTTCCTGGAATGCCTCCCAGTCTGACAGGAATCCCCGGCGGCAAACCGTAAGTGTGTTTGCGGCTGCTTGTTTGTTTGAGGGCCGACTCATTAATTGCCTAATTTTTACGTTCTTTCTTTATTCTGTCCTACCTCTTTCATCTTAGCTGTCATGTTTAACCTCCTCTGCCTTTTTCTTTCTATCATCAGTGCTTATTCTTTTCACGTGGCGGCCGACGGACAGATGCAGCCGGTACCGTTCCCTCCGGATGCTTTGGTGGGCCCAGGGATTCCTCGCCACGCCCGTCAGATCAACACACTGAACCATGGGGAGGTGGTGTGCGCCGTTACCATCAGTAACCCGACCCGCCACGTTTACACAGGAGGCAAGGGTTGCGTCAAGGTCTGGGACATTAGTCACCCAGGAAACAAGAGCCCAGTGTCGCAGCTTGACTGTCTGGTGAGTGAGCTTGAAGGCTAGGTTTACAGTACAAGATGTTTTGTTTGAGTGAGAGCGGCGTTTGCTGTTTTTCCTTTTTCTCCTTTTTCGATGCGAGGGTCCAAGGACGGAGGATGTCGTAGAATGTACAGATTGTAAAGCCCTGACTTTGAGCTATACAAATACATTCAATTGAATTGTATTAACCGTTTATCAAAACTTTGTGATATTAGTCGCATAGAAATATTGTATGTATGCAAGAGATTAAATGTATTCATTGTGTCTTCCACATCAGAACCGAGACAACTATATCCGCTCCTGTCGTCTCCTCCCTGATGGTCGGACACTGATTGTGGGAGGTGAGGCGAGCACGCTGTCAATCTGGGATTTGGCCACGCCCACTCCCAGGATTAAGGCAGAGTTAACATCATCAGCACCGGCATGTTACGCTCTGGCCATTAGCCCGGACTCCAAGGTCTGCTTCTCCTGCTGCAGCGATGGAAACATCGCCGTCTGGGATTTACACAATCAGACACTAGTTAGGTAAGAGGAGAGGCCTTGATGCATGGACACTTTGATTTTACACCGAGGGGACATGCTTATTGTCTTTCTTCTCCAACCACCTTTCAACCACAAAGTTGACCTTCCTTAGTCAGCAGAATCTCAGCCTTGGCTGATTTATCCCCAAGAGGCAGCATATTTAGCAATAGTACTACAAGAGTGGCTGCTGATGAGAAATATTGTCAGAGCTTCACATTTTGCTAGTGTGTGTGATATACACACACCAACTGCCCGGGCAACCTCTGATGCTTTTGTTTATGTCTGAATGTATGTGTGTATCCTGCAGGCAGTTCCAGGGCCACACAGATGGAGCCAGCTGTATTGACATCTCCAATGACGGCACCAAGCTGTGGACCGGAGGCCTCGATAACACCGTCCGCTCCTGGGATCTGAGAGAGGGACGGCAGCTGCAGCAGCATGACTTTACATCACAGGTACACACTTATATCAACAAGCGGTGTTTGATCGACTTCCCTTTGTATTAAAGGTAGTATCCCCAGTGGAACTAAGTTAGATTCTAGCTGCTGGTCCAAATGTACTATTGTCTCTTCTGTCCAGATTTTCTCTCTTGGCTACTGCCCGACAGGAGAGTGGCTCGCTGTTGGAATGGAGAGCAGCAACGTTGAGGTCCTTCACGTCACCAAGCCTGACAAATACCAGCTTCACCTACATGAGAGCTGTGTACTCTCCCTGCAGTTTGCCTACTGTGGTAAGCGACACGGCCGATTTACTGATGTAGTCCTCCTTGCACTTGTTTTGTAGTCTACCTTAATACCGCCCCCCCTTACAATTTGTGCTTTAATTGGTTGCTAAGTTCTACCTTTCTTACCTTTTTATGTTCTTTTTCTTCATTAAACATGACGGTATAGAGGCAGGGAATTGTGGTTGTCTATTTCATTCTGTTCTATAGAATGTTTTGTCTTTTTTCACTGTAATCACATCTTGACCGTCGTTGTCTAACGTTCGTGTGTGTCTCTCTACCCAGGTAAATGGTTTGTGAGCACAGGAAAGGATAACTTACTGAATGCATGGAGAACACCCTATGGAGCCAGCATATTCCAGGTCGGGACAACAGATCACTACACATATTTTATAATATCTTAACATAGACGATAAGCATTTCCACCAGCACAGCATTGCATCAATGCAATAAATGACTGTATGCGGTGACATATTGCTTTTAGTCTGGAAACGCATCCTGTCTCATTGGCGGCATCAGCATGTTATGATGGCCACTGTATAATATCGATCATTCAGCAATATTAATTGGAATGAGAGCACCGTACAGTTATATTTTCCAACTTTTAAGTACTGTAGCACACACACAGAAGCAGTGACGTATTATTTTTCTTTATTTGTGACTAACTTTTCCCCCGTTCTGTATCTCTTTCTTCCTCTTCAGTCTAAAGAATCGTCTTCGGTGTTAAGCTGTGACATATCCGTGGACGACAAATACATCGTCACTGGTTCAGGGGACAAGAAGGCCACTGTTTACGAGGTCATCTACTAACACTATGGAATGAAAGCAAGGACGTTCCTTCCTTCCCAAACAGCAGATGGCTTTCGAGACATTTTCAAGTGGAGCCAGAAATCGCAAACACGAGTGACCTTGGTGGCACTTATATCTGCCGAGGTGACACAGAAAGGAGACGAACAGTTTACAAGCACACATCTGTTGCGGTTGTGTACGTGACTCCATATCAGCTGGGAATTAACTGGAGCAGCTGGATGTTTAATGGAAGAGACAGATTATTTGGATGTTGTTGTCTCTACTGCCGTCTGCTATGGACTGCAAGGGAATCAGTTACAGGGACCAAACAATGGCTGGCACACGGCATTGTTTTGACTGGGACCAGCTCATCTGGAGAACACTGCACCGAACATTAGATTTTAAAACACACATGATTCAGTGTCATGTCCGGGGGGGGCAGAGACCCTAGAAGGGAACACAACCAGTTTGGTCGACTGTGTAAACCAATGTCAGACGGAAAGAGGAGAATGGGGATGCAACCTGACACAATTCTGGAGATGTGGAGAAGGACAGTAGTTTATTAACATGCTGGTTTGACTGTTGTTGCAGACAGACAATGTTCACTGCCTGTTGATCTCTCCGCTCTGACCTTAGAACCTCAGCTTGCTGTTCTGATGCGCCTACACTGAAAAGTACCTTTCTGTCTTGACAGTAAGTCTTATCCTCAATGAACTGCACTGCAATGGCAGCTGTCCACCGACACACTTAGTACAAAGACAAAATGTAATGAACATACTTGAAGGCCATGTTGACTTGTCGAGCGTCATGCTATTGTTGAATTCTCTGATGGCTTAGTTTGATCGTCACGAGACAAAGTATGTTTTCATAATTCCTACTGGATTCAGATGCCAACAAAAAGTATTCATGTACTTTAGGAGAAAAATTAGCCCAAAAGAGAATTTACTGTAAATGTTGCAACAGAGAGCTTAACTCCCAGAAGTTTCTTTTTTGGTCTCCATTTCTTACGATCCTGCTTGAAAGAACAATTATTGGAAACCTGAAGTGGAAAGAAACTTTCAGAGATTATAATAATCCTCAATTCTATTAATCATCGTTTTCTAGTGTACCTGTTTCTACAGGTTTATTGTCCACAAGCAACACAAGCCTTCATAATGTCATTCTTTAAGTCAACTTTTTATCCCTCCCCCTCTATACTTGAGCCACAGTGTGTGTGTGACCAGCTGCGTATGTTGACAGAGTCCCGCCTTCACTTGCGCTTTAACTGAATTGACCTGAAAACATTTCAGAGACTCGGTATTGATCATTGGTCGGCTGGATATAGCTTCAGATTTACAAACAGCAGCTTTGATGCGGTCTAGTTGAAGTCAAGACATCACCCTGCTGTTTTAATGCAGTTCTTTTGCCGACGCCCTCTTTTACAATGAGTTTATAGGTTGAGGTCAGAATGATCAGAAATAACAGTCTCAAAGTATTTTTCCCCTTCATTTAAGTTAAATAACATTTTCTACCATATTCACTAAACAAACCTCTTAAAAACAGAATATTGTCACTTCTTTCTGCTGATATTGAATGTGGGACATTTGTGAAATTGCCTTGAGAAGTACAACTGTGTCATGTTGTCTTTTCACTTTGCAAAGAAGAATCAAGACCGTAAGCAAGATTCAATCATTAGTCAATAGTCCTCCAGAGAACGGTGCAGTTTGTCTTTCAGTTTCAGGAAGGAGTCGGTCAGTTCCAGCCATTCATTTCATGAACTTGTGCTTATTTTTGTCTGTTGAATGTTTGTAAAAATGTAAATATTTTTTTTTTCATACAGGACATGCTTTAGAAATAACAAACTGTTTTTGTACGTCTTTTACATGGAAAGAAATGTCTAATCAGGAGAAATACTAAATGGTCTTAATGCTAGCTAATCTAAAATGATTGAAATATCTAGACAATAAATGTTTTTTTTTGTAACTGGAGTGGTCTTTGACTTTCTGGGAAGGTACAAGAACACATTACTGATCAAATAGTTTGGCTCCATTATATATAACTGCTGTGGAGTCTCAGAGTTCGGAGAATCAGCATTGTAGACGGAAGCTAGTTTGGATTCCAGACTTAGATAAAACTTCGATGGTGAAAGTTTAACTTGGATCGGTAACATTGGAGAAACTGGCGTGAGTACGCTAAATTTGAAAAAATCCTACTGAAAAACCCAGCCCAGTGTTAACAACTCTTTTCCAATAAAAGCAGCGCGAGCTGTCGCCAAATCTAGCGAGAAAGTCGCAGAGTCTGCAACACTGACAGCCCGTCCCTTCAGGCCTCCCTTCAAAGCCTCCAATAAAGACGGTGATTAAGGGCTGACATGTAGCTGAATGGGATGAAGCCCTTTCTAGGTATTAATGTGAGTGTGACTCCACTTGACACATCAAGCAACTCGACTGAAGGATTTTTGTTCGAGTGTGAGCAGCTTGAAAGGTGCAAGTGAAGCGGTTTGCTGCTACTGTAACATTGTTTTAATGAAATGACTCTGCTAGACTGCTCGTGCTACATGCCCAATATTATTGTATCTGTAATCTACTTTTATCCCAAACCCTCATTGAGGGCGAGATAGAACTCTGATGTCCCCCGGGTCATGTTTTCTCAGCATTCAAAGCTTGTTTATTTTCCACAAATTGTCTCTGACTTCCTGAGGATGCCGTGTGTTTTCACTCATCATGATTGTTACATACATGACGGCAAAAAAGGTTTCACATACATTACAATCGGGTAGTCAGTGTTTCACCTAACGATCACAATCTTAGCAACTATTGATATAGCTGGTGACTATATGATATTACTCCAACAAAGTTATTCCCACTCGTGATCTTCATGTCCCTATTGATATGTGCGTACACGTACACACACACACACATGAAAGAGCTCAGCTGAAGGTATAATCGGGTTTCTCCAGCAGAAATCAAACTATTTCAGCTTTTTAAATTCCACAGACTGAAAAAGGAAACCTGGTTTTACATTGACACAGAATATTCTTGAACCAGACTACTGCTCATTCCTTCAAGTCATGCAGTAAGACTGTTTATCCTGTGGTACCACATGACCTGTCTACATTGTTTTCCTGCTTTTAGCTTCAGCTCCAGCCTTTGTGGTTCTGAATAGCATTAAGTGGGTACGGTGAAGAATGAAGAAGCTGGGTGGCCCACTCAGCCAACTGGGGATGTTTCAGTTTGCAGGAAAGAGAAGTTACCGGTAAGCTTTTGTGGATTCTTTTTTTTTGTTAGCCTGTGTGGTATTGATATGGAGATATGGATAGTAGCAGAACAGAGCAGCTGTTCAAATCAACTGTGTTAAATAACCAAGTCCAATCCTCTGCTTAATACTAACACCCACAACAAACAGACTAGCTCTCCCATGATGTAAATCTGATTAATTACTGTGAATATATAATTCTCAGTATATCCCCAGCTCTCGTACACACACACACACACACACACTGTTGTACAGTATGAGGTGATTATGTGGCAATTACAGCCGTCACAGTGACAAAATGAGAGCTGATCCTTGGAGAAAAAAAATGGAGAAAATGTCACTCCAAGTTTTCAGTCTATCCAGAGATTTCTGAGCTGTGAATCACAGCGTTCTCTTTTGATCATCACCGCTGCTGCCTCTCTCCGATACACAGACGGATTATTCCCCCTAAATCTCCCAAATCCCTAATCCTATTTATCTCAACGCCACACAAAACAAGGTGCTCTCTTCCCACTGCTCAGCTTATGTGTACAGTACGGATGAGAGTATACGACATTTAAGAGGACCAGTTCAGGACAACATTTAGTGACATTTCAGGCTGCGCTCACTTTGAAATGCTCTGTTTTAGGATTTAAGGCCATAATTTGACTGCTTCTAGTTATTAAATATTGGGGATCCATACACATACAGAAAACAAATGATTGTGTGATGAAGTGTGTATGTGTGTATTGTGTATCGTTAGCGGCTTCATTATTTGTATAAGTTGTAGGGAGCCTGAGTCCCTAAATATTAAACACTAACATAAATAAGACGGTGTGAAACCGCCTTCACTTAAGTGGAAAATATGAATGCATGTTCAGGTGAATGAGATAAAAGCTCATTTCCACAGCTCATCGCAAAATAACTAATAAAAACACACTCAACATTAAGGGCCGTTGAATATTACGTTTTTTTCAATCAGAATGAATTCATCTTTTAGCGTAACAAGCTGTAAACACATATTATACCTTATGATATATTACACCTTATGTAGCTAACATGTTAGCAAACAGTTATCTGTTTATACATTCAGCAGACACAGGACAACAATAGCATTCATTCCAATAATCAAGCTTTATTAATTCTTAACTGTTTTTGGTCTCCAATACATCTTGACAGAAATATGTGGCTCTTTAGCTGCTAAATACTCCACTGTGTTCATCAGCTAGTCGCTAACTTTGTCTGTGTGTCGTTTGGTGCTGATCAGGTAGTGTACAGTGGGTTTTATCAGAGCTTTTTTGTTGAAACCTGCTGCATCGGAAAAGAGCGATAATAAGAGCGGTGAGAGTGAACCAAAACAGTAACGTGGGAAACCAAAACTACCTAGAGCTGCTGAAAAACTCTATGAAGCTGAGAGAAACTAGAGTCAGATTGATCACTACGAGCAAACCCTTTCACATTACTTTGTGAATTTGATAGATTGTTAACTTAAACATATTGAATAATGCATCTGAAGTTGATAAAGGCCCCGTATAAGATGGTGTTATATTGGCACATGGACCGTAACGTTGCATGGTGGACATGCAATGCAACCCATTTCTTTCTAATTATTGATCCCTCATCTTATAAATCAGTGGATTTTTGCTATTTTTCCCCCCAGCTGAATTTAACCTTGAGATGTGTCGTACTGTTTTTCGTTCAGTTTGAAAGTCAAGCTCAACCATCATTGTAATGCTATTTAAATCTTCCTCACTGAATTCATATAGAACAGTATGAAGACACGCCCCAATGCACCCAGATTAAACTGAATTCACATAAATACGAGCAGGGGGATAATGAGAGTGCAGCTGCTGTCATTGTGAATAAAACCAGTTCTTTAAAACCATTACATCCTGTTATGCTGTCTTCAAGCCTCCTCTTCCTCTTTTCCTTTCTCCTCCTTTCTCTACTCCTCCCCTCACTCTCATTTATGTTTCCCTCCTCCCTCTGTTCTCCCAAAGCCTTTGTCCACCCAGATCTTCCTTATTTATTTTGTATTTGTCCCTCTAGGCCCCTCAATCCCTCGTTCCCTCACATTTTTTTTTTGTTTTCCTAAAGTACTTTATAAACCGATTTTCTCTCCCTTCGTTTCATAAAAAAATACTCCCCTAATTCTCTTCCCCTGAGTTTATTGGCTTTTTTCCTCTTTTCCTCCCATTTTTTGCCAAAGCCTCGCCAGGTAGCCCTCTGTGCTTTGCACTTGTGTGTGTGTGCTAATGAGCTTAGAGCTGTCTCCCTCCCAAGGTGAGGTGCCATGCTGAGGTGATCGGCACTGCTGGAGCTGCAGGTATCAGCCACAAACACCTGCCTGGTTGAGCACGACCACACACGCGCACACACACACACACACACACACACACACACACACACACACACACACACACATGAAGATAATTCCCTCTCTTCTCTCTCACACTACACATAAATGCAGAATAAATCTTTACTTTCTTTCACATACAGACAGTATACAAACACACACACATCAAATACAGTATGTTCATATGCACATATGCACACACTCACACACGCAACTGACTGCTGCACAAGGGCGATAGCACAACTCTGTCCTGTCAACATACAGGATAATCAGCTGCTGGGGATTGTGGGTAAGCTGTAATAATCCCTCGCATGGAATATGGAAAGCATCAGAGAGTTATTCAAGAGGACAGAGATAAAGGTGTGTGCATGTTATATGTAAGTGTGTGTGTGTGTGTGTGAGAGCGTGAGTGTGAGTGAGGCGTTTCAATCTATGCATCTCCACCTGAAGCTGACACACACGCACATACATCAAACTACACCAGCAGCTAAACATTAGCCCATCCCCCTTCCAGAGAAGCTGCAGCTGCTGAAATGGTCGCTGCCAGAAAGAGCCACTAAGTCTTAATTAAGAACTACATCCAGAACAAGCCTCATTTAGTCAGAGAAACACCAGGGAATACATCATATTTATCTGTCAAGAGGCAAAGTCTTTACAGAACAGAGCCTCTAACTCACATCTTCATCAGCACAGTGAGTCACAGTGACTCTCCCTGCTGTGTGTGGATGGATGTGGATCCTTTTTCTACCTGTTACCCAAAAGTGACGGCAGTGTGCAGTTTGTCCACTTTTGATCTGTCAAAGGAGCGGCAAAGAAGATTTATTTTGAGTTAATATTTGAAACATATTCCTGCTTGCACAAATTTCCTGTGCTCTAGCTTCAACCCTCATGCTCACACTCGGGCTGTTTCTGTATGCTTGTGAAAGTGGATTTCTCCTTCGATCTTGGATTTTTTGTTGATTCGTTACGGATGCTTTTGTGTAACTCAAGTGCCATTATATTTGTTATAAAAAAAGCTATGTATAGTATGTCATAAAAATGTCATACAACATTCACGTTTCAGTATGTTGAAAAATATCATAATACAGTATGTCATAAAAATGTTATAGTATAGTATGCAATACTAAAATAAACAATGTTATAATATAGTAGGTAAAACAAATCATGAAAAAGTCATAGAAAAGCATGTCTAAAATTGTAGTGCAGTTTCTCCATAAAAACGTCCTAAAAAAGTCAGTTTAGTATGTCGAAAAATTCATGAAACAAGTTATTCTAAATATGTCAAAAAAAAGTCTTGTTATAGTATGTCTTTAAAACATAAAAAGTCATAGTATATCATAAAAGTATAGTATGTTCATAAAAAAGCCAAGGTACAATATGTCGGAAAAAATTA